GATTCTTGTCCTCAAAGAAGTGAATGCAGGCCAGCAATTCATTTCCTGCCCTAGGCAGCATTTGAATAGCCTATTATGTCTGTGACACAAATTACTCTCCTATGGGCTGAGCTGTGGAACAGAGGTAGAAACCTGGCCTCATCTTTATCAGACACATCCTGTCCTAACTATTCCCATATCACAGTTTTAAATATGCTTTCTTAAAGAATCACATTGTTCTAAAATGCTGTGTTACCCGTGATTCTTGGTAGTTAAATAATTGTGATTTGGGTTTATATTAGGTGGCAACCTGCCAAATTGGAAGATTGGTAACAAAATACAGTCTGTATCCTGAGCATATACTGTAGACAAATAAACATTGTCTCGAACAACAGTAAAATGTCTTCTGAGTTATCATTATTTCTTATGTCCTCCTGCCACGTTCTTGTTGATTTCTTCATTGACCTCAGATCCTAAAGCATGCAAGCCTAAAGACTGTAAAACTTGTACACCAGAAGTGCACATACTTCTGTTGGAAAATGAAGCTCACCCTTTACAGCCATATCTGTACACCAGTCTTGGTCCTCTGCAACTGAGGAGATGACCAGGCAAGGAATAAAACTGGGAATCCTTTCTTGCTAATTTTTCAAAACAATAATCGTATCAAATTAGCACCATGGCTTTTTTGCATATGATATGGTAGCATAAATTTTTCTGTTGGTAAAAGTAGCTGATTATTGAATAATCTCCCCCTCCTGATATTTCAGGAAGTTTTGGTGAGGGAAGCTTTTTGTGTGTGGGTGAAATATATCTGGCAGTTAAGGTGGTCTCTTTGTTTGGTGACCTTAGCTCTGCTTGTTCAGAAACTAGCTGGGGAGTAGCCAGACAAGACTCCAAAAGCTGTTAAACCTGTCCATTTTCCAGGAGGTATTCTTTCCATAATGTTTGCTGAGAGGCTGTAGAACAGGTAAGATAGTAAATTGAAGAGTTGCTCTCCAGGAAGGTCTGCCTTTTTGAATGAATTTTTGTACTCCACTGCCAAATCTATATCCCTAAACTTCCTAATCCTCTGATATGAGACAATGAGTTGGGAAGTATTGTTGCAGTTAGAAGAGTTTTCTGTGGTTGCTCTCAAGCAGCCACTAAGCATTAGTGCCTCTCTTTCTCCAAGGTTGCATGAAGAAGTCTTGGAAGTGAGATAAGACCAATGCTACAGGGACATGTTGCCTTCCAGAAGCACCAAAGCAGATGTGTCTATTCTATCCACAGTCACAGGGCAAGAACAGAGGCTCTCTTCTATGTCCCAAGGAGAAAAACAAAATGGTCTTTTCATTTTAATAGTGAGTTATTTTGTGTCCCAACCTTCTGCCAGCTTTGGGGGAAGACTTTAAGAGAATGATGAAGTATAGAATCAGACCCAGAATAGGTCTTTCTTGTATTAACATAGAGAAGCACTCTCCATTTCTCTTTTATCCTTCCAATTTATTGCCCTCCCTTTGCTAGTCTATCCTGCTTGACCATGTGTGTTCTTCAACTCACTAAGAACACCCATCTCACTTTTGTCACAGGATTACGTTTTTTGTGTAAACATAAATATTTAGAGAAGTTTACAAAAGATTAAGCTTCATCAAGTCAAGCATTCCTGCTAATGCAGTGTGGGACAAGTCAGCAGGGAGCAAGAGCCTGGGCTGGTGTGCACAGCTGTTGCAAGATCAAACTATGGAATATTCCCTTTTGATTCCACCGGATTCACTGATCAAAACCAGTCTTGAAGTTGGCTGTTTCTTTTTTTTTTTTTTTTTTTTTTTCCAGAGTGAAATCCTTTACATCAAAACAGCTTTTTCAGTGTGCAGGCTTTGTCTGTATTATTATTGTCTTGTCTCAGTTTTATTGCAGTTATGCAAATTCTTGATGCAGATACGGTGCACTTGCTGGAATGGTGAAAAATAAATCTGTATTGGAGAAGTTTCTAGTATGCAACCCAGACCAAAATAGCTGGAAGACCTGCCCAAAATACTTGTGCTTTGACAGTTTGGGCTTCGCTCTGATCATCAGTACCTGACAAAAATTATGTCAGATTCCACATTAGCATAATACAGGAAGAAATTAAAAACCATGATTTAAGTAAGAATGTAAATAAAGACTATAAGACTGGTTTGTGTTGGGGTGTTTTGCTGGAAAGGTAAAACAAATAAATAGAAGTTATTCCGTAATTTATGCAGCCAATAAGTAATAAGATTATATAAATATATTCAAGGCAAATGGGTGCATGTGTGTGAACACACCAGCATGTATTTCCTTTAAGGAGCTGTGTCTGTCTTCAGTCTCAGGCACTGCCAGTTTGGCTTTCTGCTCCAGGGGGAAGTGGATTTGTCATACCAGCTAAAATACTATCTACCTCTTGGACAGCTCACAAGTGACACCACTGTGGTGATGATGGGTGAAAAAACAGCTGTCTGGCATGTTTTTTCTTCAGTGCTGCCTTGCTGTCCCTTTCTAGCAAGGCAACCACAGGAAATCCACAGGAAATCCTACCTTCCTAGAAAAATATCCTGCTTCCTCCTAAGGGCGCATGGAACAGCCAGCTCAACTGGACTGTGGGCAGATTGAAAGAGAATAATCTTTTGTAGGAAGTGGCTCAAGCTTCAGTGTTTGAGACACTGAAAACCACAGTGGACAAAAACCAGCTGGTTGGTCTGATCAAGTGTCAGTGATATTGATTTTGGGCAGGACTGCTGAAGTAGATGACCCCTAGAAGCCTCTTCTAACCAGCGTTTTTATATTTTGATAATCACAAAATCTAGTATTTTTCTTCTTTCTTTAAAATCTGTGCTTATCTGATAAATGTTGCTAGACCTTGTATTTGGTTCTATTTTTTGTAAATACTCTTTTTTTTCAGAGCTTTTAATTAAAGATGCATATAATTTAAGTACTGCTTTTATTGCATGTTATAAACTATTTATGCTATTCTATGAGAGTGCAAGAAATCTTTAAGCATTCTTCCAGCAAGCTGAATTTTCATCATTGTAATACTTTCAATATATTCCTGTAACTGAACGTGTTTCATGAACTTAAAGAGGTTATATTAAATTTATTAATGCAATGAGAAATATGCTTGGGGTTGTAGGTCTTTGACTTTGATGAGTAGTATGGATGGGAGAATTGAAACTCACTCATCATTTAAATTGCAAATGTAGCTGAAAGTGACTTTATGGTTCATGCTGGAGTACAAAATAATTGAAAAATATTATATATTTAATATCAGAAAGTTATGCTATCTCACACAGCAATTAAAGAAAGAAAAATGCAAAGAGAGATCTTGACAGTTCTGTATTTAGAAATCCTTTAAATCTCTCTCTGAAAACTGTTTATTGGTTTCATGCATTTCCTTTCAGACAAACCTTAAACTGTAGGAATTAGGATCAGAAAAAGGAGTTGCCCTGAAATGATGGTTGTTTTTCATGATTGTGGTAGCATGAATAAACTACAGGAAGCTTTCCAAACCAAGAAGAGGATATAGTCCACTGTTCCAAAGTATGTGAGTGTTAAGAGGCAGGGTAGGGAAGAGGAGGGTTGAAACTACAATTTAGAAAGCAATCTGGGTAATGCAAACCATGTATCTGTCAAATTACAGCTAGTAGAAAGTGATAGCAATTTTTCCTGGAGGAGAAAAAAATCAAAATTATTCTAATTTAGCACAGAATGTGTTTTGGCCAAATGTTTTGGGAGTTTTATGCATATTTATTTTTAGGATGTTATTTCTGTTTTCTCAGCATTGATAGTGGGAAATAATTGTTATATTTCTAGGTCTTATAAGGTTTTTTTAGGGGGAGAAAGGAAAATTGCAGGAAAAGTTCACATGAAAATGTTTGTGAGATTGCAATTATTTTTGCTTGATGCAGGAATATTCAAACTTATTCCTAAATGGGAAAGGATTAAAACAAAACTGGGAGATTATAAAAAAAAATATTTGTACTGAAAATCCGAATTTCTGTTGTGGAAAAGCTAGAACAAGTAGTTTGGAAAAAAAACCAAAACAAACCAAACAAACCAGAAAGCTCAACTGTAGGTGTACAAAACACTACAGAAATAAAAAGGTGTGTAAGTATTATCTTTTCTTATCTTTGTGTCCTTGAGGAGCAGGTTCTTTCTTCCAGGTTTCTTTTCAGCTCAATGACTTTCTGGGTTGCCGCAAACTCTATGCAGTCCCTCTGGGTCTCAAGTGACCCAGTTGCTCTCTTTTTAGAGGAACATGCCAAAATAACAAGGAACAAAAAACTGAAACTAATGCCATATGTCACAGCTTGCAAGATGAAGGTCCTAGTTCTACTGATGTCTTTGAGGAGTGTGCATCTATTGACAGAGGAAATATTTTTACAAAAGAACATGGGCAAAACCAAAGCATAAAAAACTAACTCTTGCAAGCAGCAGTGTGTGTGAGTCTTCTCCCACCACTACCTCATTTTATATCTAATCATTAATTTGCTTTCTGTTTAAATGGTTACCATTAGTAACTTTCCAATTTTTGAGGTAAATAGGAAGAAGCTCTTTTCTCAATGTCTTTCCTTGTTGCCTACTCATTAGAAGAATTACTGCTTAAGACTAAGGAAGCTTTTAAAGATTAAATGATGATTTGAGGGGAAGCTGAGAAAGTTTGTGGAGAGAAGTGTGATGGAGCTTTTCTAGTGCAAATTTGAGTACATGCCACTCTGCTGACAAGGTCTTTGATGGGCACACCAAGCTCTGGAGCATATTTTTGGCTTCAGCTTGTGTAATCTGTCTTTACTCATATCTTGAGGCTTAATAAGCAGAAGTACCAGGTCTGGATGTCCTAACAATTACCCTCTCCAGCTGGTAGCAGGCACATGTAATATTTAGGCAAGTATTTGTTTCTATCTTCAAAATTTGCTACATGATTGTAACATTACAGAAGACAAGATCTTAATAAACAATATGTTTCCTTAATATAATGGCTCTGATTTGGGGGTTTTGTTTTTTTTGTTTTTTTTTTTCCTTTGCAGGAAGAAGGTATTGTGAAGGAAATAGACATCAGTCATCATGTCAAGGAAGGTTTTGAAAAAGCAGATCCTTCTCAGTTTGAACTGTTGAAAGTATTAGGACAAGGTTCATACGGAAAGGTAATTTTTATTTTCACCTAATCACCCAGAGCAGCACTGAAAATATTGTGTCTTTTCTCTGAGTTCATTTACACTGCTGACTCTGTCCATATAGAAATTATACTGCAAAGGCAGATAAGGAAAGCCTTTCTATCTTCATTTTAGTAATGTTTCAGTCTTTTAGCTGGGTTTCTGCAAATGAACCAATTTAGGAAACAGCAGCTATGGCTCTGGACCTGGACTAATGAGCACAAGTGATTGTTAGTAAAGCATCACTATTTACAAACAGTGATAAGCAATATTTATGGATTATCTCTCCACCAGGGAGGTGAGTATGCCCCTGCTGCTTAGCTGGAGGGTGTAAATAGGAACAATCAAAGACTTAAAGAAGTTAGCTGCACAGTTCCCACTGAGGGCAACCTCAAGGACATTTCTGAGTCCCAGACTTCAGTTCACACTGAGAAGCCTTGAAAGGTCTTGGAGATAAACCCCAGTGCAGAATACAATAATCATTATAGCAAGAGCATGGGGAAAACCCCTGCCTGTATGACCACAAGCTAATTTGTGGAGAAGTAACGTTCGCCACATATCTTAAGACAAAGGATTTTCTTCATTCCAAAGACAGTTCTTCAGCAGGGCATGTTGGTTGGAAATGAGAACAAGAAGAAAAGATGGTGAGAAAGAAGGGTCAATTCAGCTTTAAAGTCTTTCTGTGGTTCAAATAAGACATTGAAACCTTTGGAACAGTAAACCTACCTGACACTAGACACTGAAGTCCTTATATTATTCTGTGGAGTTTTAAAGCCATATTTTCTAATCAGAACTTTTAGTTTTATTCCTAAAGAAAGGTATATTAGGAGTGTTATCAAGTTCCTGGTTATTCTAGAATTATATTGATAATTAAATCTATTAGAAGTTTCCAGAGATGAGGGATATCAAGAAAATTAACATTCAATACCAGGTCTTGAGCTCAATAATTTCTTCAGAGCACAGTATATTTAAGTTTTAAATATTAAATGAATGTGAAAAAGCAAACAGATGAAAATTAGGTTTACTATGGGACTCAGTGTAAGAAGGTGAAGAACAATGGAAAGAAACATTTTGGCTAAAAGTAACAGAGGCAGAATAGTTGGTTTTTATATATAGACAGTAAAGATTTTTAGAAATGGTTTGCTGGTTATCTTAGATTGTATTGATGTATTTTCAGTATTGTTTGAGTTGGCCTTCTAGCCTTAGGCATTTTATAAGGAAAATGCCTGGTCTGTGTAACCACTTCCCAAAAGGAAGTCTGATTTCTTGGGCATCAGAGTGTGAGTGTAGACCTGTCTGGAGCTGCATGTAATTACAAATCACTTTCCATATCTTATGTGAGAACATCAATAAACTCCCTGGAGCAGCAAACATGGGGAAGAGAGGTCTGCTCTGTGCTTCTTATGTAGTCCCCAACTCACCTACATTTTCATCACCTTGGCATTTGAGCTAATGGTTCAAATCAGTGTCTCTGGGGATGCAAACCATTAAGTTTTCAAGTTATTTACTCAAGGCCTAAATAATTACAGAAGATGTCTTTGGTGTCAGAGGAAGTTCCCCCAACACTCTTGAGATGCAGAGCACTTGCTTAGCTTTTTATATCAGGTTTTGGGTGCACTAATTGCTCTAGCTAAGGGAGTTTTGCTAGTTCAAGTGTTAATACCCTTACAAACATATCAAACTAGAAAATTGAAGGTCGTGCTCAACCACATGCACATGCTATTCTGGCAAACTAGTATAGTCCTGCTAATATAATCTGTCAATTCAGGTTTAGCACTTCAGGTTTACTTGGTGGTTTCAAGAACGATGTGTAGCATTACATTTAAGAATAATCACAAAGGTGACATCATTTTGCAGAACAATGCATTTCCATTTGTTCTGTTCCATTCTGGTTTGGTGGTTATTTTGATGTCCTCTGAAATAGAACACAGTGTTCTTGACTCATCGCTTTTGGAGGGAATGCAGACAAGTGCTCTATCCCATGCTACAGTGAACAGCTGACTAGTGACTGGTAATGTAAATTGATAATTTTGCTTATTACAGCAATGTGGGTATTACAAACTTTGCAAGATTATAGGGCAGACAAAATATTTCTAGGACTGCAGCCTAATATTTCTGCAGATGCAGTATGCTGTGCTATTTTGTGTGCAGTGCTGCTGAAAACAATTATCTTAAGAGTTTGTTTTTTTGGTGGTAAAGAGCCCATATTTTAAAAAAATAATAATACAGCTGAAAATCTAGTGTCTGGAAAAGCTTGCTTTTGACTTTCTCCTGCTTTTCAACATACAAAAACTAAATCTTTTACTTGACCTGGACAGAAAAACATCCCAACTTTCCTCTGTAAATTTCTACATTATTGACTTTTCCTGTTAATGCCGGAGCAGCTGAGCTTAGTTTATCATTAATAACAACAAAAAACACTTCAGAAAGTCTTACATGTACCAGTTGCATCCAGATTTTACAATTTTTTCCTATGGTTGTGAGCACTGGAGGTGTTTGTGTGTTCATCAGAGTAGGAAGCAGGAGCTGGGAGCGAGCAGCGTGTGCCCAGGCTGGGCTGAGGAACTGCGTATCTCCTACGCACAGGAAGCACCTTGACAAGGGGAGTCTCACCAAACCCCTCTCAGATCATGTTGTAGAAGTGCTGCAGCTGTGGTGCTGTCAGATGTGAGAGTCCTGATGAAGTTGTTCAGAGAGAATTGAGAATTTACCTTCTCTTTTTTTTTTTCCCAGCTTCTCTACCTGCTTGATAACAGTTGTCCCTTCCCAAAAAGTTTTTCTCAAATGTGTTTGAGAAAATCTAATCTGTTTACAGGTTGGGGTTATTTGAGGAGGAAGAGTCTTTCAACTTGCACAGCTTGAGCTAGAAACATGCTGCTTACTTTTTTTTTTTTTGGCTTTTTATATTTTAGGTGAAGAAAGTTAACAAAGCTTCATGGTTCCTGGAGAGGCAATTAATAAAATAATTTGAATTTTTAATCCAAATAGACATTCATTAGTTAGATAATTTCACCTAGCCTTTGTAAATTTGTATATTAATGAGTATAGGGGACTGTATGTATGTGGAACTGTTTTTTTATTTCTACATTTGGCTTTACTTCAGCTTCTGTCCAGTAAGGCAAGTGCTGAAATACAAAAAGAAGAGACACTGTTGCTTGACTTCTGAAGATCTGAGAATTTCTGAGGTCACAATTCTGACCTCAGCAGATAGAGTGTGTCCTGGGAACCAGCTAAAAGACTTGTTTATTTATTAAAACACTGAAAGTCTTATAAAGACCAAACTGAACCACTGATCCTGTTCTTCACTACCCCTACAGTGCTCAGATGCTCTGAGGGGCAGATAAATATTTGCATGTAGTACAATAAAAAGAGTACAAGTTTAGCTACAAATTTTATTTTATTTTAATTAAACTTTCACACTGTCAGAAGATGAAACATAGGAGACTGTAACAGGAAAAACTGTCTTTTTTAAAATTAACAACAGATTTCCAGCTGTATATGCTTTCTGCTTCAGCTACATCTTAGGCGAGTTGCTATTCATGACTTACGGCATGAATGGCACCAAACCAATTTTTTTCTTTAATGTAATTGATGGCAATAATTTTAACACACTGCACATTCCTAGACACAAATGAGACATAATTTTTTTTCATGTGAAGTTGGTCAGAATATGAAGAGATATGTGCACACTGATTCTAACTTTTCACCCATCTTTAACTGAATATATCAGGTCAGTTAATAATAATGAAAATGTTTTTTGGTGAGGTGGTAAAGGCTTAAAACAGGAAATTTCCAAAGCTACCTCAACCAATTGCAGGTGAAATAGATATTAAATGCTTTCAGCTAGTAATTTTCATTAGATTTCTTGAACCATAGTATCTATTCTCCTGTCAAATGCAGTAAGTCTTGTAAGTAGAAATTCAGTACTCATCTATACAAAACACTTGCTTTTTACAGGTATTTCTAGTCAGGAAGGTAAAAGGATCTGATGCAGGCCAGCTTTATGCCATGAAGGTACTTAAGAAGGCCACTCTAAAAGGTAAGGATTGGCACAATGGCTGCAGTCTCTATTTCTGTGCTATGTAGTAATTTGTTTTTCTTGTTATTTTTTACATTGTTGATGCCTTGCAGTATATGAATGCATAAATATGTCTGCCATCCTCCAAAATTCTGCCTCACTGTAGGTGAATATTCTAAAAAGAACTTAAACAAAAATATGTTACCTATACAGTGTGAGAGGTTTGCAGCTTCCCAGCTGCATGCTTTCTTTATTTCCTTGGTGTTATTTTTAGGACTTCTGTTTGGTATGTATTAATTTGAAGTGTCACTATCTTTTTGTTGCTGAAGTAAATAAGTATATTGCTGAAGTAAAACCTAGCTCCTACTGGGCAGAATGGCCTTCCCAGCTGGTGCTTCTGTGAGTGCCTGAAAAACCAGGGGAACGTATTTCCAAGTGTGGGGAGTAATCCTGAGACTGTTTAGATCATGCTGTTTCCCAGCTCATGGGCTGTAGGAGGCTAGGGCCAAAGGACTGATGTTTAAAGTTCGCCATTCTCTTCTGGGGCTGCTGTCTGCTACAGATAAAAAAGAAATTGGTTGTCAAGCCCAGGCCTGAAAATCAAAGAAAGTAAGTTCAGTCTCAGGTGAAGTCCTTGCTGGTTGTTCCTGCACAGAGTAGGGAGGATGCAGTCATCTTTTTGTTTCCCTGACCTAGCACTGTTCTGATCTTTCCCTCAAATGCCTGACACTTCTTGCAAGTAAGGATGAGAGCATTCATTTTGTCTGGAGCAAATATTTTGCTTTGTCTTGGACAGTGTGGGTTTGTGCAATGCAGTGTAGTGTCTAAATTTCTGTCCTAATGCAAAGAATAATCGTTAAGTGACCAGATAGTTCTGATCACTTAAAAATCTAGATTTCTTTAGCATGCCTTGTTTTGAGGAGCCAAAATATGAATAAAGCTACCAATAATCACAAGCTAGAGCTACTGCAGGTGGTGTCAGGCAGAGCCAGCGCCTCTTCTGAGTACTGGTTAAAATGGGAATGGGCACACCAGCCATTTAGACAGCCCTTTCCCCTCAGAAAGCCTTTTCAAGGAAATGTGAGTTTGAAGCAATGCTGGCGTGCTTATCTTTTTGTTTGGGATCTAGATGAGAATGTTTGTTCTAGCAGAACAGCCCAGGGTAAATAAACAAAACAGTACTGGATGTAAGACATGCAAAGTAATAGTTCAGGCCTGTGTACATCACAGAATGGTTCTCTGCCTTCTCAACCAAGAACAGGACCGTGAAGTGCCCAAACTCGGCTGAAATCAGCTGTCAGAGTCTTCCCCCTGGGGAATGTCATCTTCTGATGCTGTCTGAGCAAGGTCTCAGTAACCCCTCAGACATCAGGATGAACCAGAGACTTATTCCTGTTTCTTTGGACAATACAGAGGTTTTTTACCAAAGGGGAAAACTGCGTATTCCTTCTTTTTCTGTATAACTCTAAGGAGCGTTTAGCAGGAAGAGCTTTGGCACAGGGAACGGGGTTTTTTGCACAAACACTTTATTGTTACTTAACCTAAACACTTTCTTGTTACTTAATATTTGATAGTGAAATATGTAACATTAGATTCCACTGTAAAAGAAAAGTCCTTTATTGTGGTAATATTTCAGGAAATGTCAACATTTAGGTTTTAAAGCACCCAATGTGTTCCATCAAGTTTCTTTTCTAACAAGGACAAGAACCTCTTTGCAGTTCTGTGGTTCTTTATAGCACAGAAAGGCTATTTATTGTCTTCTCAAGAATGGGTCACAGGATCCAAAAATTGAGGCTACTTTGTGATTTTGGTGGATTGCATTTCTCTCCCATTCAGACTACTTACCCCTCTGACTGCTAGCTCTGGATTTCCCATTAATCTCAAGATAACCAGCACAGGGCTAGGAACTGATCTGTCCACACCAGTTTCTACAAATAAGTTAAAATCGACAGCTGTTTAACTCAAAGTGCAAAAATAAAGACAGAACCCCATTGGCAATAGGGTGAGTGAGATGAGCAACAGTGAGGATTGCTGTCAGTAAGCTTCCATGTAAATTTTGTCACAGACATATTTCTGACAGCTTAATTTCATCTTTTAAGTGAAAGTGCTGTATTATTGCTGACTACCTACAGTCAAAAAGACTAGAAGTCACTCCAATATGAAGTATTGATTACCCTGTCTAGCAGTGGGAGCAAAGCTAGAGGTACATTGGCACTGCGTTCAGCATTTGCTAACAAAAGGCACAGTACCAGACAAATGTCTGAATGATTTTGCTTTCTGACCTGCAGTCTGCACAACTATCACATGGAGCAAGAAATCCAGAACTGCCCATGCCAATTCAATTGACAATAGCCAGACAGCCATAAATGTTACAGCAGTTATTTTCTATAGTGAAACAAATTTGCAAAGCATGTAAACAGAGAAGTCAGGAAGAAAATAAAGAGGATGGGATAGCAAAGCTGATTTATTTCCTGGATTAGTCTGAAGAAATAAAACCTAGATAAGTAAGAGACCTTCAGGAGTGATGGTACTTGTTCTGAAGAACAACCATAGTAGGTGCTGTTGAGGGATTTCCCATCCTGGAAGCCCGACGTGGCCATGGCTGGCTGGTAATGTTTAGGAAGAAGCAGGAGTACAAAATGGTGCTTTCTCCAGTGAACCTGTTGCCTCTTGCCCCTTTCCAGGGTAGTTGCCCCTTGCTAGCATAATCCCAACTTCACCATCGGCAAAAGTTAGAATAAGAAGGGCACAGCAAGGCCACAGAATTATTCAAGCGGTTACAGTTCAAAAATGATTTTTATACAAAAGAGACTTTGCAGATCTATCACATATATAGATTTGATCTTGAAAAAGATCTGCTAATCAGCAGGACCACTCCTGCTGTGAAAGGAAAATTAGGCTCCTGAATATTACTGTTTAGATTGTAAAAGCTTGCAGAGGCACATGCTGTACATGTGAATATTTGTGAAAATTAAATTAACCTTGAACTCATGAAGGTTTATTTTAAACAGATGGTATATCTGAATAAGCACCTGTAACAGTATGAATCCTTGAAAGAGAAAAAGCCACTGTTGCTTTTTGTTGTAAATGAGAGCATCACACATAAGTTTCTTTCCTTTCTGCCTCATTTCCTTTTTCAGGAGCTTGTGGGTATCTGATTTTAAAGCAGAAAGCTTTCTGACGAAACTAGATGAATATTTAATTCTAATTATTATCTTTAGTAAAACCTTGTTCAAAATGCTTAAGGATGTTGTGTGTGTTAGGTGCAGATACAGAATACATTTACGAACAGATTTAGGGCTGCAGGTATGTGTAACTCTAACTTGTTTCTCTGTCAAATACTGCGTATTACATTACATTACCTTAATAGCTTCCTTTGCAAATACAAACCCTTTTGGGGGCATCTAGGTGCTCAAAGATATTTAGGCATTTAAATACCTTCCAGGAGTGAGATTTTTCCCTTCAGAATGTCATTAAATAGTACTCTTAAAATAATATATTAAAATGTTGCTTTCAAATGTTTGTTATACTCTACTTTTTCTTTAAAATCAGAGTTTTAGATAAAAAAGTTGACAGGTAATAAAGTTGATCTCTATGTTTAAACACTTACAGAGATGTATCAGTGAGTCTCTACTGCCCATCCTGAATACATTGTAAATCTGAGGGAACCAGAAATAATAAACCAGGGAGTGTTTATTCTGTGTATATGTGTGTCTGGTATTCACCAGCAAAGCTTGAGCAGAGGGACAGGGCAAACTGACAGTTCTGATTTATTCAGTATTTCTCTCGAGGTGTCTCAGGCTCATTTACTGAGTGTGCTTCAGAATTCCAAGATCAAGAGTTGTTTAGATTGGTTACGGTGTAAGCCTCATTAAACACCCATGAAATGCCCATAAATCCCCAGCAGGTTGCTGTGCTGGAATGTAAGGGAGCTTAAAAATCAAAGACCCGTTTCTCCAGCAGACATGCAATTTAAGAGAAAGAGGCATGAAGCCATAATTCACTAACATAATGCTCATGAACTTTGTAAATATTGCAGTGATGATGTAGCGACTGTTTTGTGATGGATCATGAGGATGCAGTTTGCATCTGCCCATCTGGTTGGCCATGGGGTGTGTAAGTCTTGGCACTGGAAGCTGTTTGACCCTGAGAATACGATCTACCTTTTTGTGATTATAGGGTTTAGAAATTATAATCTCTTTTGTCTAAACCTCTGAAGTGCTTTGAAGCTTATGATCCCCTGAGTTTAAGCCAGCAGGTTTAGGGGTTTGCTGATGTGTGGTGGTTATAGGTGCAGTAAGCTGTGAGAGCAGCTTTAGAGACTTGCAGAGAGCTTGGGTGTTCTCGGGGATGTAGAATCTAAAGTATCACTTATACCCAAAATCGAACAACTAACTTAGATGTTAGCAGGTGAAGTGGGATTTCTGTATAAACCTCTGATAAAATTGTAGTGATGGCTTCCCTGGCTGGACACCAACCGAGGTGGCTTCTTCAGTTTTCCTCTGTATGTGACTTCATTTCCCTGTAACAAATATGGTGATTACATATCAGATACAGAATCTAATGGTTTCCCTCTGGTTTGAAAGGAATAAAACGTCAGCAAAATGAGAAACTGTAGACAATTTTACCCTCTGAAGCAGGACTCAGAAAGTCTTCACCTCAGGTAAAACTTTCTCTATTGTGCCGAGGTTTTTAAGGCATCTTTTTCTATTTTGTGCAGTCCTTGTGTTTAAGAGGCCCTGGTACTTACCCATTTAAACTTTGGTTTATTATTTTTTCTTAAAGTATTCTGCTACATTTTTTATATCTTCTTGGGTCTCTTATTACCTGTTTCTGAAAAATTCATCAGTGAAATTCTGTTCACTGGACAGTCCAGATCCCACAGCAGAGGTACCCTTGCCCTGAAGTTTGGAGGAAAGCTTGTGTGCTCTGCATCCTTGGAACTGCTGCTTATGTATGGCTTCTTTAGTCTGGGAATTGTAACCCTCCAAATGTCAGGGCTCTGAGCTCAGAAAAACACA